TGTGTGCGTGCATGTGTGTGACCGAGCTCCTCTGATTACCCCACTGTCCACTGCTTGTTGGGGACCACTTTGTGACCGTTGCCGTGGGCGACCAGATGGCTAATTGAGCACTCTGTCATGTCACCTCCCTTCACAGGGGACTGAGCCAATCGGCGCAGGCCAGACTTCTCTGCTGCCGCCCCCACAGACATCACAGTCCCATCTTAACAGAGTCCAGCTTTAGGGGCCCAGAGGGGTTGTTTAGAAAGCTCACAAAGGGAGCCTTGTTACAACTGATACCACATCAAGCCACTGGCTTATTTACATTTTGTCAATCTGAATGGTCGACAGTGGAAAGTGTGTGCATGTGCGTCCGCGTATGTGTGTGCGTAGACTCACTTCCCTGTAGTTTGACTGCGAAAATCATATTCCGTGTATTTATGATGCCGGAATTGGCAGACATATCCTCTGTTAGATTCACAGCTAGATTACAGATGCTGCTAACTAACTTGGCACGGCATTCCTTGGCATCACATCAAAAGTATATTACTCTTGTTACGAATAGCCAAGAAAAAAGGCCTGTGTCCTGCAGAAATGATGCTGCTGCTGTTGGGATGTTGCTTTATACGAGCTCGGCTGTAAATGGATGAAGGATGACGTGCATTTGTGAGCTGTTTTTCAATGTAATTTTCCCTTGAAGTCTTCATTGATATTTACTTGATAAACTTGGCCAGAATCACAGTTATATAAAGAAAAAATACTAAAACTGATGCATGTTTATTAATTAAATCACTTATTGATTATTAATTACCGTTAAAACTTTTTTATACTTCTTAGATTTTGTTTTTTTTAATAACTTGCTAAAGATTAATTTGGCTCTTGCAGCTGATGTTAGTGCTGAATAATGTAGTAGCTACAAACTTCTTGCCTGTTGATCAACAACAATCCATCCAAGTTCAAATGGAGCATTTGGATTTAATAAGTGGATTTTGTACTGAAGACTAATTTTTAAACATGCTATTCAGATGTGGCCTACTATAAATGAGTATGAAGGAGCACAGGGTGGGAACTACTTCTTCTTGGGCTCTTTTGTGTACCCTATGATGCATCATGGCCCCGAGAACCATAATTATATAGATATGCATCTGGCTGGGGGCCCATTTAGCTCACCTGGTCGAGGCCCAACACAGCGGCCTGGTCAAGTCTTGACTGGGACCCTTTTGCTGCATGCCTTCTCCCACACCCATCGTTCCACCTTTCTGTCTAATTATAACTGTCCAATCACATAAAAATGAAGAAATGCCCCTCAAATGGATCTCTGTGTATTTTGTCCTTCAGTTAAAAACACAATGAAAATTCTCTGAATTTTTAATATTCTTTTGACTTTTATCCCCGTATTAGATCTTTGAGCCGCTCCATTATAGGACCCTATTCATTTTAGACAGACGTTGTGTAGTACGTCTATAAGGACTCTGCACTGCAGAGGCACCGACAACACGTGGGTCCTGCATGCAGACTGCTAAACAGTGTAATAACAACAACTTCCTCAACCATGGTGTCTGAGGCTCTCCAGACGGGAGCATAATCCCAGCCTTAATGCAAACTGTATGACGTGAACAAAGCAGCAGCTGCAGAGACTTGCAGGAAAAGGGAGGTTTGATTTCCTACTTCTATAGAAAAATGAACATAGACATTATGACTGAGGGAACACACGAGCATTATTAAGTGGACAAAAATAAGCTGAACGGATATTAAGTCATAATGTTTTTCTTGTTTTGTATTCACCTTTAAGGCAGAGTTTGATCTGTTCTTATATCTCTGTAACATTGGCTAACAGTTTGCTAATAAGATGCCGCAGTAACACAGGCCCAGAGACTCCTCAGTGACCCCCTGATAACCGCTCGTCTCCAGGTGGGAAAATGCGTATTCCCTTACCAGTTGCGTGTTTGCTTGCTGTCGCTGCACAAAAACTGGCATATTAGAAGAGGTGTATAGTGCTGCACTAAAAAACCTCTTTGCAATTGCTTTGGTCACCAGCAGATTACCACAGTGTCAGTGTTTCCATGAAAGATGCCAATTAGTCTGTTATTACTCACCAACTATTTGCTATATGGTTGTGAGACTGTGAAGAGAGCAATGAAAACTGCAAATGGACGCACCATTAACTTTCAAAATAAAAGCCTTGGCTTTTGAAACCTATTGGTTTCAGTGGTCTTCAGTGTCACTGTGTTTAGTTTTCTCCACATTTTGCCACGTTTTTTATCAATTTTTGCTACCACTTGGTGATCAGGTAGCAATTGTTTGTGAAGGGCTTGGCAGCTTCTAAACAAATAACGCACTACTGACCACAACATTCATAAGGTGGTTTTCCTGTCCAGTACCCTGCTAGCAATAGCCTAAGTTTGTTTCTTATTCACATTTCTCTGTGTATTTCTAATAGGTTACTTGTTTGTTTTAATATGAGAAAAACATTTTTTATTGTATAATTTTTATGTTTTGATATGTTTTTATGCCTTTGGAATCCTTTGAACCTTTACATTTGACATGGATTTGAAATTGCAATATATATACTGTCCTTATTTGTGTTTGAGTCTATAATTACATTTCAGTTTTTAGAGATTCATGGCTCGTTCTCTTCTTAGTTTCTTTGCACCACTGAAACAATTTTGGACAGTAAAGAAAATGCTTTCTATAGAGACGCATGATTTTTGCTGTAGTTCTTAAATGCTCTGTAAGTTGGGCTTCTAAATCCTTTCTTATTACGTGCTTACTTGATAGTTTACTTCAAAGCAAAGAGTATTGATGCACATTTGAACACAATTAGCTCGTCTGACATAATGAAACTACACACATAACGATGTTCAGAATAAGCTTTCTTGTTAAATTAACTGGCTGTTTTTCGCTGGGGAACGATACGCCGTCCTGAGAAGAGGCATTAGTGGTGTTACTAAAGGGTAGAAATGTCACTTCAATCAAAAGTGGTTTCAATTAAAGTTATTTTACCTTGCTTGATGAGGGAGCTGGAGGTAGTGAAGATAAAATCGGTAAGATATTTCCAAGGCTCTGGCAGAAAATTGAACCCCAGAATTGAAGCTAATTGAATTTGAGAATGATAAGGTTGAATGTGGGGAGCTCTTGAAGTTTGTGAGAAAAAGAGAGAAAAATGAGTGACTTCTAATTTTAATGGACAAAGATGAAGCGAGGACACAGTGTAGAAATTATTCGTTTTTTTTAACAGATACAGTACGTGGAGGACTCTGCCACGAAGTGCTCTCACAATGCTGCGTCTTTGACTTTGTCACATGGTCACTCTCTTTCAATGTCATGAATAAATAAACTCCAACTTGTATAATCATTTTTTATTCTGCTTGTGAAGAAAAAGAAGATAATACTGTGCTGCTTTATTGATGCCCACGGGAAAATACTTTCCATATGTAGGTCAGTGCACGAGTTCAAGAACAGCAATTGTGAAGCCAGTGGGGATTCATTGTCTTGCTTACGGGTCCTTCAGTAGTGTGAATGCCTACCAGAGCTGGATTGGGGATTCACATATTTGGCTTGAAGGACTTTTTAGTCAGGTATTTTATACGGATGACACTGGGAGAGAAAGCTCGAATCACGCGTGGGATTGGTGTTATTTTAATCTAAAACACTTTCCACATCCCAAATCTGAACAGCAAAATGAGATCTCAGCAGTGATTGGCATGCACTGGAGGCTGGTGTTAGGGGATCTGTTAGAATATCAGCTAATGCAAGCAGTGATTGTCATGTTAACGTGTGTAGTGGAGCCACTGTACTATGGTTAGAGGGCAGAGGCATCACCTTGTTGCCACTTTCAGCAAATGTTCTTTGCAAGTGAATTATTTACTGAGTGGAATTCTAGAGAGAGATCACAAAGTTATTGAATAAAGTATAAAAAATTACCCCAGAAAACAGCTTTGGGTGCACTCGGTTATTTTCCCATTGCTGATAAGTTTGTCTATTTATGTGATTTTGCATATCGTATGATTGTGAAACCAATTTAAATGCTCACTTATTACGTTAAAACAATTCTTAAAAGCTGCAGTAGGCAGAGATCTAGAAAAGTTGAACCAACCGAAAGCACCATAACAGACATAGACATAGGCATCTTCCCTCTCCCACAGGACAGGAAATGGCATTTGCACTACAAATTAGGCCACACTCTCACTGGGCCACACTAGAGACTGGTTTGCGACCCACTGTAAACCTTTCCCTGACCGGTTGGTGAGTGGTTGCTGGAGGTTGCTGGCTATTGGTGGATAAATTTGTTTGCAAAGAGGTATACAGTGGTCTACCAAAAAACCTCCTTGCAACTGGCTTGGTTGCTAGTGGATTTCTGCAGTTAGCCATAGTGTGCATATGTCAACTACTAACCAAAAATGGGGAACAGTCGCCCTCAAAGTAAGCTTTTAAAATTTGTTGACTCCAGCGCTAAGTCAAAAGTTTTGTTCAAAGGGGGAACATTTTCCATTTCTGGACTGTCCTGCACTTCTTGCAGTTTAAGCACCACTTGGCAAGTGGTTGGAGAAAGTTTGGCATTTTGCATGCAGAATACAGACAACCACGGCAACTTGCTAATGATCAAAGCAATTACTAGGTTTTTGGTGCAGCGTTATATATCTTTGTGACCAATTTTACTGGCTGAATACCAGCAACCTCCAACAACCAGGAGTTCAAACCCTAATCTCTCAGGTGAAAATTTCATTGGCTTTACTCCATTGCACCACAGCTTCTTACTTAATACTTCATCCCTCTGGGCCTCTACTTCACCTGATCTGATCTCTCTCTGGATACTTGAATAAAAATAATAAGTAATTATTATTTTTTTCTCCAATGTTGCTTAAAAATTCTGATTACTCCAGCTTTAATTTTGCTTTGCATCCCTTGAGAAAAAGGCAACATAAATGGCAGTAAAGGAATGAATGAATAGATGGTGCCATTACATTCTTTGAGGAAAACCATTTCTTTGCTCATGTGTTCCTCCTCTGCTTCCCTTGTAGCTTTCCCTCGACTGGACCAATGGTCAGAGAACGCCTGCCTGCCTGAGGCTTCCATCTTCATGGACGGTTTCCTCTACATCTCATCTTCATCTACCAAGGCGACCTTGGACCGTCGCGGTAGGGATGGTGAGTCAAAATGGCATTTTTGCAAATCACTGGCAATTTCAATCCATCCATCAGTCCATTTGTAAGCAATATAAGCTGCATGTTTGTCAGAGGTCTCCTCCAGTTAAGCGCTGATCGATCAATCAGTGTCAGTCTGTCAGCTGTCAAACTGCCAATCGTTTAATCTGTACAGCGAGCAGTCACAGTCACAACGATCAATGAATTTGTCTTTCAAACGAGTTCTTCCTCGTCCTCTGGGAGGTCTTGTCAGACACAAGTATGTTAGATGAATCATCAGTGAATGCACTACGGAAGCACGGGGCAAATCTGACAAAAAACTACAACAAAAAAAACTAATTAAAGAAAGAATTTTAGCACAAATCCGTTGGAAATGTACCTGAGATGCCTTCTCCAAAACTTCAAATTTCTCTTTCTTTTGTCTTCCAAGCGAGTTTAAAACTTTTAATCAGCTTCCATTTCTCACCCAACTCATCAGCTGCTGCTGAACCTCCTGCTCTGCAGTGGTCCCACTTCTCCAAACAGCTGGAGCATTTCTGGGGCCCATGGGTAATTAGGAGAAGGAGCCAGCTTTGGGTAATGCCTCTGGGGGAAGGGGGTTATTGGGAAGGTGGAGGAGTGGGACGCGGAATGGGGGGATGGGGGAGAAGCACTACCTGCCACTTGAATGAGCTAAATCTCCTTCATGTTCAGCATGATCTACCTCCATTTCCATTATCCCACACATGCACTGCTCTCATTGGCGGTTGTACATGCTGGCTAATGAACAGGGCTGAGGTCTGGGGAAATTGCCTCTTAGAGAAAATTGTGGAAAATTTAGCCGAGTATCTCTCGAAAAATCTCATTATCTGCACAAATGAAATTCATTTTCATTTCATTTGTTAAAGGATAATTCCAGTGTAATGCAACTTGACTCTTAATTTCATAGTTTTTGGCCAAAATTTGTATTAGCCATAATAACGTGGTTACTCACCGGGGAAATTGGGAACAAGGTGATTTCACTGCAAAAGAAAAAAGCTCGACAAGAAACCAGAATGATCAAATGACCAGTTTTGAAGCGTATCTGAAAGGGGGGGAAAAAAAAGTCAGATTAAATTAATTCATTTTTTTTATATTCTGGTCATGTTCTATCAACAGAATGAAACTACAAAAACAGAATTTACTAATTATTATTATTTTTTATTCATCACTTGTTCTTCATGTTTTTCATCAAAATAGAAATTAAAGCCAATGAAATGGTTAAATGTTATTCTGTAACACTATAGAGCAGGGACGGGGAACTTGTCCCGCAGGTTTTAGATCTCACCCTGAGTCAACACACCTGAATCAAATGATTACTTCATTACCAGGCCTCTGGAGAACTTCAAGACATGCTGAGGAGGTCATTTAGCAATTTAAATGAGCTGTGTTGGCTCAAGGACACATCTAAAACCTGCAGGACACCGGCCCTCGAGGCCTGGAGTTCCCCCACCCCTGCTATAGAGCCTTCTACGCATTACACATAAGGCCATGTCCACATTAATACATTTTCATTTGAAAACACATCTTTTTCTCTCCGTTTTGGCCCTCCGTCCACACTTTTGAAAACGCTCTCCAAAGCAGATACATTTGAAAACGCAGCTTTCGCCTCGCAGTGTGGACAGCGGACCCGGAGCCTTTTCGAAAACGATGACACGTTTTAGTCATGTGATGCTGTCATGTGACCAATTAAACTAAGATAGCAGAGGGCATTATACAGCAGTTGTTTTGTTTGCTCTGAATCTTGACAGCCCTATTAAAGATTAATATCAGTCTGTATATGCGTCAGATAGCTTTTCTTCAAATTCTATAATTCTCACTCACTTTTGCAACTTTGTACTTTGGTGTTACTCGCAGCAACAACTCCACCTCATTGTTAGTCCATTTAAAAAACTCTGTGCTTTTCTTCGACATTTTGTTGCCAC